ATACAATTTTTTTTATTGCTTTTGTCAATTGTATTGTATTGTTCTTCAGGTTTACAATAGAAATTAATGTTTTTGTTTGTATTTTCATTATATCACATTTTTTGCTTTCTTTGTGTTTCTGTTTAGATGCAGGTTTTCACATCACTCCAGACAGACAGCAGCTGTTTCAGTTTCTTTTTTTCACTGTGAAGGTCTTGATGGCTCCACTCATTTGCGAAGGATCAGGAATACTGAGGGATTTCTCTAAGCCTGTGACATGAAACAGAAATCTGCAAAGTACTGGGGAGACACAATGCAGTAGTGACTCAAGACTTTAATGGGAATCTCAGCAGTATTGAGCATGGCAGGGTGCTACTGGTTACATTTTGGTCATTAGTTTTCTCAACCAGTTAATTTCTAGAGAGCCTATAAGGCAATAAAATATATTCTAGCTAAATTTTCCACTACCTTCAGCACTCTGCTTGGCAGTGGCGAAGATCTGGACAGTCTGCAACTTTATATTGAGGAGTGCTTCAAGCAACGTGTTATCAAGAAACCCAACAAAACATTAACTGAATTGGTACAACAGTATATTGCAGTATTCAAGTAACCTATCAAACAAACAGTGGAAAATGTTTACATGTGACAAAATTAGGAGAGACAGAAAAATCTCTGTCAACTTTACTGTCACTGGAAAGTTTCTGTAAAAAGTAATTTTATTCAATCTTTGAGAACATGACTGGAAATGAAAACATTTGTCTGTCAGTTGGCTCTGTGATCCTGCAGAGGCCTGTTTTTCCTGGGCTGGAGGGTAACTGTGTGAGTCTGAGCTGCAAAAACAAGAACACATCCTCCCACCTCCTCTCTGATTTTTATAAGGATGGACTTCTCATAGACAACAGAATAACAGGAGATATGGTGAGCCACAGTGTTTCCATATCTGATGAAGGATGGCACAAGTGCAGCATATCTGATGTTGGTGAACCACATCTTAAAACAGTGCTGCCTTCAAAGAGTGCTTTACTCAAATGCAAGTATCCTGAGCACTGTTTTAACTGTTACTTTAGGATATTAGCTGCATGATGTTATGATGTTGGATGATGATATCAGGACTTGAAGTGCTCGGCCCGTCATCAATCCAGAACAACCTGTTGTTTGTTCTACTTTGGATTCAGCGCTCTTGTCTTGATGACGTTAACTATGCTAATTACAAAACACCTCCTGTTCTATAATCTGTGCTAAAGAATGGAAAACAAAAAAATTACGTCTCTAATGCAAATAGTCAACTAGGGAGTAGTCGCTGTGACTTATGTTTTAAAAAAAAAATAATAATCACTTTTCAAAGTAAAACAGAAAAAAAGATCTTGAGATCTTGTAAGATTTTCTCTTTGTGAAGTTCTCACTCATGTACCTTCAGCTTTAAAACACACAGCGAAGTCTCACCTTTGTCCACATCATTGCAGTTAAACTATATTTGTGTTGCACCTCTAAATAATAAAGACTCTTTTTAAAGATATTTTTATTTACATATTTTTAATTCAATAAAACCACAAAATTTTTAACTGACATAAAATAATATGAAATATATAAAATGTAATAATGCTCTTACTTAATTTATCCCTCAGAAAAGTAACTCTGATTATTTTACATGATCTTGTTTTTAAACAGCATCTGTTCTTCTCCAGTGTTGCTGATGAGGTCGATCTTCACGTCGTCTCCAATGTTCCAGTTGACCATGTTCATCCACAGCAGGTCAGCATCAGTTTTAATTGGCTTGTTGACAGCATCTTGCCGTAACTGTAAATGTAACCAATAAAAAGGTCACAGATGTCCAAGTTAAAAGTAACAATAAGAGAGACTGAACGAAAAATCTAGTAACACAGAGACTCACAAGGAGTGTCTCTCCAGCTTTCAGTATAAAGTTTTCTTTAAATTCGTATGTGGCACTTTCTCTGTTGTTGATCTGTAGTTTTAACTTCCAACCTGACAAAAGTTTATTCTGTAAAAGGAAAACAAGAGAATAAAAAAGGGGGAAAATGAATGAGGCAATAATAAAGTTCAGTGTGTGTTAAATCCAAAGTGTTTATAAATGAGTGTGTTACATCTACATAAGTGAAAAGGTTCTTTTTTAAATATTTCTGAATACATGGAACATGTTGTTTGTGTTTAGGTAGTACTCATTGTTTATCAGCATGCAAGCAGCAGTACCTCACTGGAAGTGTTTTTCAGACAGATATAGTTGCCATTTTTCTCGACCTCGACCACAGTGATGTCATCTGTGTTTGAGCTGTGATTGGCTGAGCCGCTCTTATTCTGTTCCTCAAAACTTGTCTGAGATTTCTCAGGATGTGGTTTGCTTGTCTCTGGCTGAGAGAGAGAGACAACATATACACATTAGAATGTGTGAGAGGGAGACATGGACAAGATATTTGAGCCTATGAGAAACAGTGTTTGCTAAACGCAGTGAAAATATTTTGAACATTTAGCAAATTTGATCTCCAGTTTTTATTCGCAGTCCTGTTTTTCAAGAAGACGACAAGACATTGGGTCCTGTTGTCTTCCTGTTTTTTCTTCAGATAACAGACAGTAGAAAGTCTTTCTCTGTGTTTTTAATACAAATCTGTTTTCACACACTCACAGTTTGGGTCTTTGTTTTCTTTCTTAGCATTAATAAAATGTAAAATAAATGTAAATGTGCTGCATGTTTGTTTGTTTATGGTTGAGGACAGAGCGAGGTCCCAGTAAATGAATGTGTGTTTGTGCTGAAGTGTTCAAAACAACAGTCTGTGTGTGTTTACTTCTTTCTTCATGTTGCTGATCTCTGCATGTTTCTTCTGCAGGTGATGATGTTCCTCCTTCAGCTTTCCTCAGCTGCATGTTGGTTTTTCTCCAACTAACAGACAAACAGATCGACACAAAGGTTCAGCCTGAACAAAACTATCTGGACTGTCAAACATAACAGTCTGAACACGTCTCCAAAACTGTTCACACAATTTCTGTTTGCTTTCAAATCTCTCTTCCTTAAAGAGAAACAGGAAATCTGTTGAAACACAAAAATGAACAAATTAAGTTATAGACATGACACAATGCTGAGACTCAATGTTATAATATGAATCATAGAAATAACTGAAGTTTCAAATTCCTTCTTAATGAAATGTTCATAATCTGCAGTTTTTAATTCTAGACCCATGAATGACTATAAGTCAGTGAAGTGTTGAAAACGTGTGTTTTTCTTTGTGTATTTACCTGTTTCCAAAAGTCTTTGGTGGGAAGTGTTTTCTCCTCCTGCTGGAAATCCTGTTTTTCATCCTCATTCACTTTTTGTCAGCTTCATGTTTTTCCTCCTGATCACAGACAGCAGAGACTGAAGTCAGAGTAACTAGTCTGACCAAAACACTTTGTACAAAATCATCAAAGTATTTTTGTTTCCTTTCAGAATTTGCACTTTGATTTAAAAAAAAAAAGCTATTAGCCAAAAAGTTGGCATATCATAAATATATATATATATATATATATATAATATATATATATATATATATATATATATATATATAAATATATATTTACATTTATGATATCTTGTTTATTAAGAGTTAAATAGTTAAGATTAAAAGAATCAAACTTGATTTTTGACTTGATTTATTTTTTTTTTTACTTGGAACTATAAGATGAAGTTCCAATTAAAAAGCTTGCTTTCAGGTTTTTGGCTTTAACTTCTTTTTATTTTTAATTCTGTGATTAACCCTGTGACACTGCTCCTGTGGAGGCGTTGTCTGCACTCTGTGAGAACTTTCTGAATTACTTTGTTGAAAAATTGCTCTTTATGGTCTCTACAGGGTGGGCCATTTATATGGATACACCATAATAACATGGGAATGGTTGGTGATATTAAAGTCCTGTTTGTGGCACATTAGTATATGTGAGGGGGCAAACTCCTCAAGATGGGTGGTGACCATGGTGGCCAATTT